GCTGTATCCTCACATGGTAGAAGGGCCTAGCAAGCCCTCGGGAGTCTCTCTTACAAGAGCGCTAGTCCCATTCATGAGGGCTCCTCATGACCTAGGCACTTCCTGAAGGTCCCACCTTCTTATACCATCACACTGGGCATTAGGATTTAAACATATAAATTTGGGGGGACACAAACAGAGCATAGCATTCCATGCTGAAGCTATTTCAAAAGTCTCTCTTTTTTCCCAGTATCAGGAATTAAGGGAGTCACTCCAACGATGTAGGCTTCCGTGGGGCGCTGAAAGGGAATATGGTGGCATAATACCCATTTCACTCCCTGAGGAACACAGGCCAAAATGTGAACCTCCTCGTGTCATGGGCAAAGGACACCAGCATTATGGATTTGGTGGAGAAACCTGGTCAAGGTAAATAAACTTCCAGTCCCTCACACAGAGGTCATTATTATTTGATTATCTATATTTCTATTGTGAGTCCTTTGTTAACTTAAATCTACTTCCAAACTTTTACTATTTATGAAAAGACACAGATGGGAACGCTAATTATAAAATTTCTAATTTCAGTAAAAAATATGTTATAAATGACTTCGCTTTCCTTAGAGATGTTTAAGTATGTGATCAGAAATTTTGATGAATTTAATTCCCTTGCTAATCACATTTTATCTAAAACTAAATAGGAAGGCTCCTGAGAAAGATTAAATTATTATGTTTTTTGGCTTGAGCAAATAGCTGGCCTAATTTTACAGATGTTCTTGACTTTTTTTTTTAATATTTTTTATTAATTAATTTATGTATTTGGCTGCATTGGGTCTTAGTTGTGGTTCGCGGGCTCAGTAGTTGCCCCGCAGCATGTAGGATCTTAGTTCCCTGACCAGGGATGGAACCCACGTTCCCTGCATTGGAAGGCAGATTCTTAACCACTGGACCACCAGGGAAGTCACCCAGATGTTCTTAACTTTTGATTTCTAATTTGTTTATCAATTAGAATCTACTGGGCATTGTTTTCAAGTATTAAAATATTTCAGTCATCATTTATAAATCTTAAAGTTACCCTTTCAGCAACTTTATTCAAAGTACAGGTTAAAACTGAAGAGAAAGCACAAAAAAAATCTGAGCAGTAAATTAGATGTCACATTGAGTAGTATGAAATTTACTCAAAGCAAAATCCATCAAACCTTCTCCACAAACAGCCTGGTTATTCCTGCTTTATCCAATCCTGGTTACCCAGTGTACTAACAATCTAGCTAACTAGATTAAAAGAAATAAATCAGGAAAGACAAGCCACAGCTAGAGAGAAAAACAGTAACAATAGGGACATGTGGCAGCCTTATGGAAAGCCTCAATAAAGCAATAAAAAGCAGACAAATGAAAAGTCCAATTGGAAAGATGCAAATATTGACACAGTATAGATAGGACTTCAAGTTCATTAACTCATCCAACAGATTTGTTTAAGCCCCCACTCTCATGGAACTTACTTTCTAATATAATATAGATTTATGGTATCTTTGTAAAGTAGATATTGTTATCCTGGTTTTACAATAAATAGAGACCCAAGAGATTCATTACCTCTCCTTGGGTCAGACAACTATGAAGTTTCAGAACAGGGATTTGAGTCCAGTTTTATTTAACTCCAAATCCCACATTCTTTTCACCTATTCATTCATTCGCTTATTCCAGCTATTCATTTATTCAGTAATTTGAGTATAGCAAGCATTGGTCTAGAGATTAGGGGTATAGCTCCTTAGGGAGTTTATAGCCCTGGTCCCCAAAATCTGTATATTAAAAAAGTGCACAGTATTCTAAAAGAATTACAAGTATACTCACAGAATTCCAGTGTGTAAAAAGAAAGCAAAAGACTAGCTTCTTAAGGGAAACCCAGCTTGAAATGAGAGGTTTGTGTTTAGTATCTTATTGAATGCAGCCCTAGGATACTGGGAGAGAAAATATTTGTTCCAATTAAAATGTCAGCCATCCCTGATTCAGAAATGCAGGCTAATGTATTCAGATTCTCTTCACACCCTTTTATGTTAAATGTTATCAGTTTGGCATATTTATCTCTTAAAAATATATTTAAGACAAAGTATAAATATCTTCTGATACAATGTAAATCACTTGGCAAACAACTACAGAATAGGTTTTATCTTATTTCCTAACAGGGAATAACTTCTATCACAATATTTTTCTTTTTCCCCAAGAAGAGCCTTTTAAACAAACAGAGTATTTTTCAGTTCTCTGACAGGTCAAGCCTCCTCTGGCCCATGTAAAAGCTTGTTCTCATAACCACACCCTGTCACCTTCTCCGGAGGAGATTTTTGGTGGGTGTTGTGATACAACTCACCCCACTGCCCGTGGGGAATAGGATCACAGAATATCCCACTCCTATCGCCTAAAAAATGAAACAAATGCAAAATTTACCAGCAGCCCCCAAACAATAAAAGGATGCCATAAAATTATGCCATTAATTTTAATGTGCCAAGGAAAGATAATTCTGTGTAGTTTATTCCAGTTCCTAAGTGTTTCTCAAGACAGCATTTTGGACAGGGCAGTTCTTTGTCGCACACATTGCAAGATATTTAGCATCTTTGGCCCTTTACCTATAAATACCGGTAGCATCTTGCATTCATTGTGACAACCAAAATGAAACCACCCACACATGTTTTCAAACTCTCCCTGTAAGTGTTGGGAGTACAGGGGGAAGCCACACTATTGGTTGAGAGGCATTATACCTACCCCCACCCCTACATTCCAAATGCATGTTGAGGCAAGGTGAGTCTACGAAATCTGCTAATTCTCCAGTTTGAAGAGATTGAAAGATTGAGTAGATAATCCTATCAGAAAAGACAAAAAGCCTCAAGAGTAGACAAAAAGACTCAAAAAGCCCCTATTTAAAAACAGCAAGATTTCAAGAGAGATGAAGCTCTGCAGAACGTGTGCTCTTCCGGAATGCAATGATGACTTCAGGGAATGAGCAGAAGCCCCTGGGTATGGGCACTTCCCTGACTGGGAGGAGTGGGAATTTTCCCCTGTAGAGGGAAAATTATTATTGTAGAACCAGTGTTCTACACTAATGTTATAAGCCCTGGCAAAGTACAGATTATATAAACAACCAAAATGGGGAGATCAGGGAAAGGAAACAGAAGTGAGTGAAACTGGGTTTATCATCTTATCTTTCATGCCTGAGAGTCAATATTATCTAAAAAATGATAATGATTCCAAAATCCTAAATGTTTCAAAAACTTTTTCCTAAATTTCTAAAATATCTGTATAAAATTATATCTATGTAATAAAGAGATATTTATCTATAGTTCAGGAATTCCTTCAGGTTTACCTTTTCATCTGTTAGATGCTAATAAAATTAAAAAGATTTAGGGAATTCCCTGGTGGTCCAGTGGTTAGGACTCCATGCTGTCACTGCTGAGGGCCCAGGTTCAATCCCCGTTGAGGAACTAATATCTCGTAATCCACATGGCACGGCCAGAAAACAAAGAAAAAAAATTTAATTTTCTTTTAGAAATTTCATGAACTTTGATCCAATTCTTGAAACTTTAGTTCTGACTAGAGCTGTCCATCTCTCCGTTCCTTACTTCTTTACATCTATTTTTTAGAGAGATCTAGAATCATGTTCTACATGAGGTTACTTGTGCTTTTTTTGTACTTACTGAAATGTTTATAATAAGCATGTGCCATTTCCATAAAAATAAGAAAATATCTTTTTTAAACAGCAGCATTAATCAAGAACTTTTATATACCACACATTGTGCTAAGTGTTTTATAGACATTATCTCATTTAGACCAAATTACATTTGATTTTTTTAAAGTTCATGTTTCTAATAAAACTACTTTTGTTCTTTTTTTTTAATATTTTTTCTGCCCCTTTCTCTCACTCCTCTCTTTTTTTTAAATGAATTTTTAAAATCTATTTATTTATTTTTGGCTGCGTTGGGTGTTCGTTGCTGCTCGCGGGCTTTCTCTAGCGGCGAGCAGGGGCTACTCCTTGTTGCAGTGCGCAGGCTTCTCATTTTGGTGACTTCTCTTGTTGCAGAGCACGAGCTCTAGGCGTGCGGGCTTCAGTAGTTGTGGCATGCGGGCTCAGTAGTTGTGGCTCATGAGCTGTAGAGCACAGGCTCAGTAGTTGTGGCGCACAGGCTTAGTTGCTCGGCGGCATGTGGGATCTTCCCAGACCAGGGCTCGAACCCGTGTCCCCTGCATTGGCAGGCAGATTCTTAACCACTGCACCACCAGGGAAGTCCCTTTTTTAAATTAAATTTTAATTGTACAACTTATTCATTTGTATGCATTAGGATTTTTAGTTGCAAATAACAGAATCCATTCTGGCTCATTTAAGAAGAGGTTATTAGAGGATAATAGGTTAACTCACAAAACTGTAGGAGGGCTAGAGAAATAGGCTAATTGCTAAGCTTCCAGAAATAATAGCCAGACTCATTCCCAGGACTGGCCTCATCCAGGGAAGTGCCTCTGCTAAAAGTGGACACCTCTGATTCTACCTTATGAGCAATATGGATGCCCCACTTGAAGCCCGTGTTCTGAGGCTACTCACATTCAAATCAAAGTCTAGTGCAGATGTGGATGACAGCAGAACCTAGGGTACGCATTTGCACCCTGGTTGCTAGGGAGGCTGGGAAGTGGATTTTCTGGATGCTACCTAGGGAAGTGGGGTGTTCAAAATGTGGAAAGCTAACAAAATGTACAGAGGATATGGTAAAGATGTTAGATAGCCATCAGTGCCAGCTGACTGTCACTTTAAACAATAGCAGCAACAACAGTAACGTGCTTTTCTATTGAACAAGTGGTCCATGGACCAGCAGCATGAGCATCACCTAGGAAATGGTGAATGCAAAATCCCCCCCACCCCAGATTTACTGAAACAGAATATGCATTTTAATAAAATCCCTCAGGTAATTCTAACGTGCAGCAAAGTTTGAGAATTGCTGCTCCAGTGTAAGAAAATGCAACATTTTTCACACAAATGAAAATGCACTCACCTCCCCAAAAGGGGAGATCCAAAGTCTCATCAGTTCCTGCATCCAGCTCCAAGTCCAGGATCACTTGGTGATGGTCACTCCTCTCTATTTCAGTCATAATATTGTCCTGATAGTCCACATTTAGGCATTAAATAAAGTAAACCATCGCCAACACACCCTATATGAAATAATAAGGAAAAGGGAGAGGAAATAAAGAAAAGTTATATATATATATGTATATACATATATGTATGTATATATACAGGACATAGCAAGGAAGGAAATATGGGAAGTGACTGCAGTCTACAGCTGGTCCTGAGGCTATTATTGGTGTTATAATTTCCTTCCTCCACTACCCATTTCAAGTTCCCTTGCCCTTAGCTAGTAGGAATTCATTACCTTGTGGGGCAGCCCCAAATTTGTTCCTGAGAGATCTAAGCTCTTAGTGGTTCTGCCTGTGTGCAGTAATAGAATACTACAGTATTCTATTAATTTTATGCCACTGGAAGCTATGCTAGGAGGTGTCCAAAAGATGCTTTAGGTTCTAGAAATACTCCTTTCCCCCAGCATGGTATAGCAGCAATCCTCTTACCCTTGATATTTAGGATCAATCATCCCAGCCTACTTGGAATAATTCTTTCTTGGCTGTTTTCTCCAGAATCATAAGGAGCCCCAGATTACGACCTCATCAGTTCAGCTTCCAGTTCAAGCTGTTGTGTCGTCTGATGGAAGCATTTCTCCCTTAACCTCTAAACCAGCAAAGCCCAAGGTGGCTGGGGAGGAAGTAAAGATTTCCTCGAGTGTAATAATAAGAGTGAAGGGCATCACTCCCACTTCCCCCCATTGCTTTTTAGACCATGCATTCTGGCTATAGGGGAAACTATTTATTAGTCACCGCTTCACAGCATGTGCCACACTTCAGGATAACATTCAGCCATAGCTGAATTGTCAACAGGCTATGCTACCATTCTGTAAATATGACAAGGCCAGTGAACCCTTAAATTCAACCACTGCCTTATTTTTTGTGTGATAAATTTGAGTTCCTTAGTCAAGAGTAATATTGTTTAAGATGGCATGCAGTGAATAAGGCATTCTGTTACATTCCACTGATGATGTAACTGGCAGAAGTGAAGTGAGGAGGAAAGGAAAATCCATAATCAGAAGTGTCCTGTGAGGATAAATCATCTTTCAAGATGGAAGGGGTTAAATGTAATCAGCCTCCCACCAGGTGGCTGACCAGTACACCCAGAGAGATTTTTCTCTATGAATTACTTAGGGTTGGTAACTTCTGCTGGTAAACTCACATGTGGCCAGGTCAGTTTTGATGAGGTCATGTTGCTGAGTCCATAAATAAGAACTTCTGCCCCTGCCCCCATGATAATTTAGTTTATGAAGCCACTGAGCAAGCACCAGGGTGACTGGAGAAAACCTGGCTGATGCCCACAGATTTGATCATATTATCTATCTAATTACAAACATCCTCAGTGTGGGGTTCTGTTGGTGAGCGTTCTTGTGGGGTATGAATAACCCTCATACTTTAGGGCCAATCTCAAAGGCTGAGAAAGCAAGTTTTTTGGAATCTACATTGGGTAGTGAGATACAGTGTGGGTGTTCAAAAGATATTGAGCAGCGAGGAACAGTTCAGCACTACAATATATATTAAAACATTACGGGCTTCCCTGGTGGCGCAGTGGTTGAGAGTACGCCTGCTGATGCAGGGGACATGGGTTCGTGCCCCGGTCCAGGAAGATTCCACATGCCACGGAGCGGCTGGGCCTGTGAGCCATGGCCGCTGAGCCTGCGCGTCCATAGCCTGTGCTCCGCAACGGGAGAGGCCACAACAGTGAGAGGCCCGCGTACCGCAAAAAACAACAACAACAAAAAAACATCACAAGCTCCAAGAGTGAAGGCTAATGTAAACTATGGATTTCAGGTGATAATGATGTGTCAGTGGAGGTTCATCAGTCCTAGCAAAGGTACCACTCTGGTGGGAGGTGTTGATAATGGGGGAAGATAAGCATGTGCAGGGTAAAGGGTGTTTGGGAATCTCTCTACCTTCCTCAACTTTGTTGTGAACCTAAAACTGCAATCTAAAGATTGTAAATACAATCTATCTCATTCTTTTTAATTTCTCACAGTGTTCCACAATATGGATACATCAGATTATTTAGCCATTATTTTATTTTTTTTTCTTTTGTATTAATTGAATGTAATAAATATCTTTGTACAGGCCTCCTTGAGCTCAATACACAAATGAATGTTTCTCTAGGGAAAATCCTAAGTCGAAGTTATGGGTCACAATATATGAATATTTTTAATTTTAGTAGATATAGCCCAAATACTTTACATTCTCATGGTATTGTCTAAAAGTATCCATTTCACCATACTATTGGCCAATTGTATTATATTATCAAACTGTATAATTTTTGCCTATCTAATGAACAAAAATGTTATCATGGTTATCAGAATGCATTTCTCTGATTAGGTTAAGTACTTTTTTTCTTATGTTTATGTTTTCTTATGTATGACCGTTTATATTTCCTTTTCTGTTCTTATTCTTTGCCCATTTTTATTGCTTGTCTTTTAGTTATAGATTCTTATTGGTTCTTTATGTTCTGGATATTAATCCCTTATGTATCTTCATTGTAAACATTTCTTCCAATCTTTGTTTTATTTGAGCTTTTTTATGCTGTCCTGTCTTCAGAAGTTTTTCACTTGATGTTATCAAACTTCCTTTTGATTTTTGACTTTTTTAAAATCTTATTTTAAATGTTTTCCCTACCACTAAGAAAAAAACATATTCTTGTATATCTTCTTTTAATATTTGTATGCTTTTCCCTAATTCTTTAGATTTTTAATTCATCTGAAATTATCTCTGTAATATGAAATAAAAATCTTTTTTTCCAAATGGCTAGTGAATTTCTCCTGCATTGTTTATTGAAAAGTAAACTCTTTCCACTGATTTAAAATGCCATCTTTTCATATACTGAATTACCATATATACATCGTTGTATTAGTCTATTTTTATCTTTTACTATCTCACCATTACACTGTGTTATTAAAAAGATGTTCAATTTAATCTTTTCTTTCTTTTCAGAAAGCTTCCTCTTGAACAATTTTATTATTTGTCACAAAACAAAAAAAGTGACTTCTGTGGAAATGATTCTTTGTAAGTTTGAGGTTTCTTTTCCTTATATGAGATCAAATAACATTTTCAAGTGGAAATGAGCTATATGCAAAATAAAAAAGCTCCAAAGTGGGAACTTATAGAAAAACAAGTGTTCCTTTTTTTTCACTAGAGATTATTGATTATAGAAACCAAGACCAAAACAACAAAAATAAAACAAATAAACTAAAATCCACTAACAGTTTGTTGCACTTAAACAAAGAAAAAAGTAGGAAATAAGGAATAGTAATGTTTGAAAAGATTCATACAGATCGTCTTGGCCCATTTCCCTGCCTTTGACCTAGTTATTCAATCTAATGTTATCTGTTATCTAATGAATCTGTTAATGTTTCTTAAAAGGTTCATAGAAAAAGCCCCAGTGCCCTCACCAAAATTTTTAATCAGAATTTTATGAGAGAGGTTTGTTATGACAATCTACAAATAACTCTTAATAAAATTACTCCCTAAGTCTCTTTTTTGGATAAGGAATACTTAATTTACCCTTTGCTTAGAGGAATTATTTTCTATTATATTGTTTTTTGCTCTTTGAAATAGTTTGTTGTATATATTACAAAGGCATGCTTTTAAATTTTCAGATAAAAATAAAACACCAACAGCACTGAAGTAAAAATGAAAACATTAGTTTTTACCTTTGTTAGAATTGTTAGGAATCTGTTTATAGGTAAGAAGTTAATATACAGTTCAGCCACAAGAGGGAGCCAAAAAGACATGAAATTTGTGGTTGCTGGGCCTTGTATATCCCTTTGGGATTAGTAAACTGAAAAGTATTAAAGTGGCAGTAAAATCATGGATAGGTTCAAGGAATTGCTGTCTCTGAGCATTTTTTATTTTCATTTTATCCTTTCAAACTTTGAATTTTTAAGAAAGCTTTTCTTTTTAAATTTTTATTCTTATTTTTCCATTTTTTTAAATTATAGCTCATTTACAATGTTGTATTAGTTTCAAGTGTACAGCAAAGTGATTCAGTTATACATATATATATGTGTATATATGTATAATTTTATCCATGTTGAATCAAATCAATTTTAGGCATGTACTTGTCAATATCAGCTAAATTTGTCACATGAGAAAAAATTTAGATGCTGATTTAATGTTTCATATATAATAGCCAATCTGGTAACTCTAGATCTCATAGATTCCTATAGTCATTGCTTCCCATTCCCCTACTCAACCAGAAATATAACTGGAAAACATGCTTTTTTTTTTTTTTTTTTAGTTCCAACAAACTTAGAGTCCAAATAAAGAAAGATATAAACCTTTTAAGGTTCACATGAATTGTCTGTTTATAATACATTATGGACTAATAAAATTACATAGCTTATGTACCACTTGCTAAATAGAGGAACATATAAAAAAGCAAACAGTATATTCAATTTTACTGCCTTTACTACAACTGATAAGTCAGTTCATTTTTCATAACTGAAATATTTCAGAAATATTTGCATAGGCTGAAACTAATTGCTGAAATGCAATGAAAGCAGATGACAATCCTTCTCTAGTGTGGAGTTTGTCCCTGGGCTGCATTGTTATTTCTTGGCATGTAGGGTTCAGAGTAATTAGTAAGTACCCAAGCTTCAAATGAAGTGATTCAGAAAAGGCACGCCTCTGGGAACTTGTTCAGTTTTGTTCTAGCCTCTCTGCAACTGGGCAACATTTACTATCATGAGAGATGAGCAATCCTGGGCAAAGGGACAAAGCACACATCATACTTATATATTTTCTCCAACCAGGCCACACTCTGATCACTTTAGGTCATGTAATTGTACCCCATGCATGGTGTCAGGCTACCTCAGAACACTTTGGTGCTCTGCCTATGAGAGTGAACATCAGTAAGAACCAGAGCTCTATTATCATTAGAAGAAGTTAGAAATGCAAAATCATTATCTTAAAGACACTGTAGTTCGCAAATGGGATACATCTTTATTCTTAAGCAAGTTTCTAACAGGAATGTAAGCTTTAAAAAGTCCTTAATATAAATTAGGGTTTGTTTC